TTAGGACATACAGTTGTCTTTAATCTACATTCAGCTAATTTGTAAGCATGGCATGAAAATTATCCCTTTTTCTGCATGCACATATCCAATTTCCCAAGACTCAACACAGAAGACACTGTATCTTCCCTTCTGTGTGTTCACGGAGTCTTTGTCAAAGACTGGCTTACCTTCTATGCGTGAGATTTCTCTTCCATCCCATCGACCTACATGCCTTATATGTTTTACGCAAATGCCATACTATTTTAACTACTAAACTTTGCAAGATAATCTTAAATCAGCAAGTGTGACGTCTCCAGCTTATCTTGGTCAAGATTGCTTTAGCTATTTGGGATCGCCTGGAGTTCCATCTAAACTTGAAAGCTATTTTTTTCTTTTCTTGGGATTTCGATGAGGATTCTACTCAACCTCTAGATTATGTTGGGTAATACTGGCTCTTTTTGGTACTGGGGATTGAACTCAGGACCTCAGGCCCTTGCGTTTGCCAGGGAAGCACTTACTCTACTGAGCCATCTCCCCGGCCCAACACTGGCATTTTGACAGTATTAATTCTACTGATACGGGAACCTGGAACAGATTTCCATACACTTGTGCCACCTTCTTTAATTTCTTTTATCAATAGTTTTTAGTGGCCAAGTCTTCTACTTACTTGGTTAAACTTGTTCCCAAATTAATTATTTTATTTTCACCTCTAAGTACTTTAATTATTATAAATGGAATTTTGTAGGCTTTTTCAGATAGTTCATGTTAATATAACAGAAATGCACCCTATTTTTATATGTTGGTTTATGTCCTACATTTTTGCTGAATTCATTTTAGCAGTGTGTATGTGTGGCTGTGTGTGAGTGTGTGTCTTTAACGTTTCATACATACAAGTCCATGTTATCTACAAACACAGACAACTTTGTCTATTCTCATTTGGAACCTTTGCATTCCTTTTTCTTACTGTCTGTTCCAGCTAGGGCTGCCTGGAATGTGAACAGAAGTGGTGAAGGTGGGAAGCCTTGTCTTGTTTCTGATCATAAAGAAAATGTTTTCAACGGTTTACTGGCTGTTAGGTGTGCGTCTGTCACACATGGTCTTTAATTTGCTGAGGCATATTACTTTTGTACCAAAGTTGAGAGTCTGAACATGAAAGAATGTTGAATTCTGTTAAATGCTTTTCCTGTACCTACTGCAGGGATGGGTGAAAACACACTGCAATTGCCACCGTGTGAACGCACGTGCTTACCATGACCTAATGAAGTTGCAAGGAGTCACACGTTACCATGGTGCAAGAGCACCATTTTGTATTCTCTGATAAGTGATAGGAGTACATTTTCTATAAACCCCTCCTTTCAAAGGGAATCTCTTCCCTCCCTTGTGGGCCAGGGGAAGAGACCTGCTATTTCTGTCCTCTCCTGTGACACTGGAACATGGGAGCCACTGTCTCTTTAATGCCCTGGTCAAAGGCCTGCACGCTCCCCGCCGTGCCAGTTCCCCAGCACGTCTCCTCCCTCCACCAGAGCAGCTCTTCAATGGTCTATACACACGTGTGCGCTTTTCCTCCAGCTGCCTGCAGTGCCGAGCCAGCGCCCACGGCTTAACCTCCAGTCTGTGCTTCTCCCAGGTCCAGGTCCGTGGCAAGGGTGTGGCCCCCTAACTAGCAGACAGCAGACCTTTGGAAGATGCTCAGAAGTGCATCAGGACCAGGAAGTCACTTAAGCTGAGTGGTGACGTACCTTCCAGTGGAAGCAACGTGACAGGGAAATGTGGCTCTGCAGAGATCGCTTCAGACCGGTAGGACGTGGTCCAGCCACCAAGAGTCCATTTGTGGGCTGGGCCCGGGGAC